CGCCGCTGATCACTTCCCATTTAATACCGAACTGATCTACCCTCCAGCCGCCAACCGACACCTGTAAAGCAAAAGCTGACTCAGCTACCAACCCACACTTCGCACCGCCTCACTTTGCTTGGCCGAATTGACCAATTTACCCATAGTGCTTTGGATATAAAGACATTTATCATTCGAAGGGACCGGAAAAACACAAATCTGACTTTGGAACATATGATTGCACAAAAGAACACACAGTTCTTATTTTTTCCACTCAAGTTCATCAGCTAACTTGATCGTTGGAGGTACAACGAGGGAACTAATCTGCGCCCTCTTACGAATTTCTACATGTGCAGATTGATCAACACCACAATTCAAGAACCAGACATAAAGTCAGGGAAGGAAGCAACCACTCTTCAATACTGAACTGAACCTATCCTATTTTGGATACAATTGACTGTTTGATCTTAGACATCGACAATAAGTATTAAATACAATGCAATATAATATATTATAATATTATATTATACTTTAGTGAGTTATATTATATTATAATTATCATTATATTATAATTATTATATATTATTTTTAAATAATTATATATTTAATTATTTTGGTATATCAATTTGTTATTGTTGTATATTCTATTAATATTTTTATAATGATTTTTTTATTATTAATATAATATTATACTATTATTAATATAATATAATATTATACTATTATTCATATAATATAATATTATTAATAATGTTAATATTATGTTATTACTAGTATGTTATTAATAAATTAATATATTATAAATATTTTAATATTATATAATATATTATAGTTTTTAATATGTTAGAGTTTATTAATAGTAATTTTATTAAATATGTTACTATTAATAATATTTTACAATTATTAATGTATTACAATTTATTTATTAAAAAGTTAATAATATTATAGCAATTATATTATTGTATAGTATATTATTATATTATTATTTATTATCAATAGTTTTTATTATTTTTATTAGTTTATTTATATATTATTATTATTTATTATTATATAATATATTATTAACATATTAAACACTGGTATTTAATATGTTATTATATAAGATATTTTAATTATTATATTTTTTATATTATTAATAAATATTACTAATATATTAAATTAACAAATAATACAGTATAGTATAGTATAATATAATAAGCATGTTCATAATAACTCTATATTAATTACTGATTTTAATTATTATATTTTAATTATTATATTAACACCTTCTCAAACTCAAAACCAAAACACCAGACTTAGAACACCTAAAATGTGTTTTGAAATAAGTATTGTGTTTTTGGTTTGAGGATGATTTAGCTCAAAAAATACCATGGTTTCCAAAACGCATGATGTTTTATTTTTTACAAAAACACCATGGAAACAAGTAAAACAACATGATATCCAAACAGAGCCTTAGGATTAATAAAGTTCATCCTGTTATATCATTCACACGTTATGTAGATCCTGCCAAGACATATAACTTTACACATTGTACTTTTTTTTATTTTATTACTTGTATTATGAAATCGACTTTAAAATTAGTCAAAATCTAAGAAAAGGCCTTGTGCAAAAATTGCGTCAATGTTATTTTCAAGAAGATGTATATAATGCCACCACAGAAATGCTTGGGGCACCATGAACACATAAACATCAAAGGTACGTAGCTTATATAATTATTACTTGATTTTTTTTTCTCGTGACATATATCACAGAACCATATAATTATTCACTGCAGAAAATGGCATGTCGTGGTGCTATTATTGAGAAACTATCTCTCTTACCTATTAGTTTTAGTGTTTAATGTCTCTGCTAGAATTATAAGATTGTATAGATTTATAGAATACAATAAAGGCCCTGCTAATTTGTGGAATATATATAAGTCAAGTGAAATTATCAGTGACTATTACCTTGGTATGAGAATAAGACTTAGATGTTGGTTTAGCTGTTTAATTAATCTTTAATTTAATTTTTTAAACTTTTCCCTCTAGTCATGTAAACTCATTTTTGTTAAAATGCTTTAACTTTGGAGAGAGTATAATTTCTCCTGATACGTATTTCATTTTGCATAGGCTAAGGGGGTGTTTGTTTCAAATCCTATAATTTTAGGATATGGATTTCATCATGGAATTTGAAATCCATAGGTTTTTTAACATGAGTTGGGATTTCTAAAACTTTGTTTGTTTTATCAATATTTTGGGATTTGGAATGCCATAATTTGTAAGTTCTTGTTTGTTTCAAACTCAAATTGTAGCATTATAAATTTTAGAATTTGAAATCTATAGTTGTAACAAACAAGTTTTAGGATTACCAAAATAATAATTGGTGAATATAAGAACCTTTGGTGAGCTTACCTCCCACAAAAAACAAACACAATTGTATTCAATTGGGGTATGCATACCCATTCAAACTCACAACAAGTAAGCAAGCTCACAAGCTCAGATTGGAATTAAAACCCACAACAAACCAAGCTACAAGCAAGCCATCAAAGAATGATCGCACCTAAAACAAAAAATAAAATCAACCAAACAAGTAACCATACTTTTCAGGCCCATATAACCAACAAAAAAATAAAACATGCTCAGTAACAAACTCACAAGCAACTATTAGAAAACAAACTAATTTTGAAACAAACTAAATCTAAAACAACATGAATCTGAAGCAAACTGAATCTGAAATAAACTGAGTACTGAAACAACCTGAAACAAGCTCACAAGCAACCATTAGAAAATAAACTGAATCTAAAACAAACATGCTCAGTAACAAGCTCACAAGCAACCATTAAAACAAATTGAATCTGAAACAACCAAGCTCACAAGCCTTCAAAAACATGCTCAGTAACTCAAATAACCAAGGCTCAGACAAGCAACCATTAGAAAACTCATAACAAGACCAAGGTAGGGGCTCATATATAGATATTAAAATTTAATACATGGATTGCCTCATCAAACAATGATGTTGCAATGTAGGTTGCAATCACATGAATGGATTGCCTCACCTAACATTGTAAATATAATGTAGGTTGCATTCTCATCCTAGATTAACCCTACCTAAACAAAGAAAAACATTGTAGATTGCATTCTCATAATATGACCATCATCATTGCCTAAATTGAACAACACAAAATAGCCATACCAATACAATCGTGCAATGTAGGTTGCTATCAAGTATCATATCCATCCATATTTATATAAACCTGCAAAAGAACCCAAGCTCATATCCAGTTTATACAAAATATGACCATCAAGTATCATTTTCTAATGGTTTCTTGTGAGCTTGTTTCAGATTGCTTCAGATTCAGTTTATTTCAGATTCAGTTTGTTTCAAGCCCCTTTAACAAAAATTAAACAAAACATGTCCACACACAAGCAAGTTGGACCCAAGAGCAGCTCAGATTGGACTTAAACCCATAACAAATTAAGGCTTCCAGCAAGCCATATTACCAGCAAGTAACCAGTCTACAAACAAGCTCCTATAACCAGCAAGTAAGCAGCCGCAAGTAAGCTCAGACCAGCTGCAAAAAATGAAAACAAAACCCTCCTGCTATTAAAGCAAGCAACTCATATAACCAAGGCTGTAAGCAAGCAACCGCAAACAAGAAAGATTGACCCAAGAACACAAGCAACAACGCCCTCATGTAAGCTCAGGCCAGCTGTAAGAATTGAAACAAAACCTTCCTGTCGCTTAATAGCAGCTCATATAACCAAGGCCGCAAGCAAGCAGCCACAAAGAAGCAAGTTGGACATATGCAAAAATTGTTAATGATATCCTCATAGCTGCAAATCCATACGTGACCAATCATCATAGCCGCCATAAAAAACATGCTCAGTAACAAGCTCACAATCAACCATTAGAAAGCAAACTAAATCTGAAGTTTAGACTTGAATCTGAAACAACCTGAATCTGAAACAAGCTCACAAGCAAATCATAGAAAACAAAATGAATCTGAAACAAACATGCTCACTAACAAGCTCACAAGAAACCATTGAAGCAAACTGAATCTGAAACAATTTGAACCTGAAATAATCTGAATCTGAAACAAACTGAATCTGAAACAAGCTCACAAGCAAATCATAGAAAACAACAAGT